TCTTGCAGAGGTTGACCATTACATTCAGGTGCTACGATATGGATCAGAATGTCTGGATTCAGGTGTCCTACAAACAGTGTCTGTCCACGGTCTTCAGTGTCATATAACACTGACCTTTGCAAATCAACATGACTTAAAGAAGGAAGACTAAAAATGCCAAATATCCCTTTAAAGAAATGGGACACAGCTGCAGCTAAATACTGTTTTTCTTCCTTAAGATTTTATATAATTAACATTTGGGGACCTGACTATTACTATGTTCCTAAACTGATAAGATTTTTGCAACTGTAACGATAGTTATAATCGTTATTCACATAGAGACATTTGATTTGAAACTGTTCAATTGTATCATGAGTTAAGATACAATAATGTTTCAGGTATCCTGATGACAAAAATTCATCATGTGCATTTCTAGATAGCTCCAGTTCCATAGTGGAAATACTTTTATTAGCCAGTAGAAATTTAAAAATAATACAGAACTTGCACAGAGGCTTTTATGTTCCTTACATTTTTAAAGTGGAGTTTATTTATTTGTTTGAATATGCAACATAAGCAATAAAGCAAATGGGCCCCTAACCCCCCCCAAAAGTGTAGGAGAATTTAACACTCCACTCATAGCAATGTATAGATCATCTAAGCAGAAGATTAACAAGGAAATAAGGGCTCTGAATGACATAGTGGACCAGATGGACTTCACAGATATATATTAGGATGAACTGCTAAAGCAATAGAACACATTCTTCTCGAATGCACATGGAACATTCTCCAGAATATCACATACTAGGTCACAAATCAGGTCTCAACTAACACCAAAAGACTGGGACTATTCCCTGCATATTTTCAGACAACATTGCTTTATAACTTGAACCTAATCACAATAGAAAATTTGGAAGCAAAACAAATACATGGAGGTTAAAAATCATCCTATTGAAGAATGAATAGGTCAACCAGGAAATTAGAGAATTAAAAAAACAAAACAAAACAAAAGATGGATAAAATGAAAATGAAAACCAGACAGTTTAAAACATTTGGAAAGCAGCAAAGGCAGTCCTTGGAGGGAGTATATGGCTATACAGGCCTATCTCAGGAAATAAGAAAAGTCTCAAATACACAACCTAATCTTATTCCTCAGTAATATGGGAAAAAAACGGCAAATAAAATCTAAATCCAGCAGGAGAAGAGAAAAAACAAGGATTAGAGCAGAAATCCATGATATAGAAATCAGAAAAACAGTAGAACAGATCAACAAAATGAGGAGCTGGTTCATTGAAAAAATTAATAAGATTAATAAACACTAGCCAGATTATCAAAAAGAAAAGAGAAATGTCCCAAATAAGTAAAATTATGAATGAAAGAGGACAGAGCACAACAAACACTGAAGAAATACAACAAATTATGAGAATATTATGAGAAATTATAAACTAACAAATTAGACAATGTGGAAGAAATGGATGCATTCCTAGAAACATATAAACTACCAAAACTGAAGCAGGAAAAACAAACAAACAAACAAACAAACCTGAACAGACCCATAATCAACAAAGAAATTGAATTAGTAATCAAAAATCTCCCAAAAAACAAGAGTCCAGGACCAGATAATCTCCCAGTAGAATTCTACAAAACATAGTTTAAAAAATAAAGCAAACTTAATACCTATTCCTCTGAAACTCTTCCAAAAAATGGAAATGTAAGGAGAACTTCCAAACTCATTCTATGAGGCCAGCATTACCTTGCTCTCAAAACCAGACAAAGGCCCCATGAAAAAAGAAAATTGCAGACCAATATCCTGATGAAAATGGGTGAAAAAAATCTCAACAAGATACTTGTTAATAGGATCCAAAAGTACATTTAGAAACATTATTCACCATGACCAGATGGGATTTATTCCTGGGATGCAAGGATGGTTCAACATCCACAAACCAACAATGTGAGGCATCACATTAGTAAGAAAGGACAGAAACCATATAATCCTCTCAACAGATGCAGAAAAAGCATTTGACAAAATATAGCATCTTTTCTTGATTAAAAAATACTTTCCACAGTGTAGGGATAAAGGGAACATACCTCCATAACATAAATGACATATACAAAAACCCAACACCAAAGATGAATCTGAATGGGGAAAATCGGACAGCTTTTCCCGTAAGGTCAGGAATAGGACAGGGATGCCCACTCTCACCACTGCTGTTCAACACAGTACTGGAAGTCCTAGTGTTGACAACCAGTCAACAAAAAGAAGTAAAAGGCAACCCAGGCAGGAAAGAAGAAGTCAAACTTTTACTCTTTACAGATGACATGATACTCTATGTAGAAAAACCAGAAGAGTCCAGCAAAAAATTGCTAGAAATGATATAGGAATTCAGCAACATGACAGAATATAAAAATTAATGCACAGAAATCAGTTGCATTTCTGCACACTAACAATGAGACAGAAAAAAGAGAAATTAAGGAGTTGATCCCATTTACAACTGCAGCAAAATCCTTAAGATACTTAGGAATAAACCTAACCAAAGAGGTAAAGGATATGTACTCTAAAAACTGTCGAACACTCATGAAAGAAATTGAGGAAGACACAAAGAAATGGAAAGGCATTCTGAGCTCAAGGATTGGAAGAAAAAATATTGTTAAATGTCTGTGCTACCTAAAGCAACCCATATTTTTAAAGCAATCCTTATCCAAATATGATCAACATTTTTCACAGAGCTGGAACAAATCATCTTAACATTTGTATGGAAAACAGTAAAGACCCAAAATAGCCAAAGGAATATTGAAAAAGAAATACAGAGCTGGTGGCATCTGTATTCAAAAAAATATAAGGTACTCATGAAAGAAACTGAGGAAGACACAAAGAAATGGAAAAATGTTCCACACTCATGGATTAGAAGAACAAATATTGTGAAAATGTCTATGCTACCTAAAGCAATTTACACATTTAACGCAATCCCTATCAAAATACCATTGATTTTTTTCAAAGAAATGGAACAAATTATCCTAAAATTTATATGGAACTAGAAAAGATCCCAAATAGCCAGAGGAATGTTGAAAAAGAAAATCAAAGTTGCTGGCATCACAATTCCAGACTTAAAGCTCTATTACAAAATTATAATCCTCAAGACAAGTATGGTACTGGCACAAAAACAGACACATAGATCAATGGAACAGACTAGAGTGCCCAGAAATGGACCCTCAACCCTGTGTTCAACTAATCTTTGACAAAGCAAGAAAGAATGTCCAATGGAAAAAAGACAGTCTCTTCAACAAATGCTATTGGGAAAATTGAACAGCCACATGCAGAAGAAGGAAACTGGATAATTTCCTTAACCACACTCAAAAATAGACTCAAAATGGATGAAAGACCTCAGTGTGAGACATGAATCCATCAAAGTCCTTGAAGAGAACACAGGCAGCAACCTCTTTGACCTCAGCCACAGCAACTTCTTCCTAGAAACATCACCAGAAGCAAGGGAAGAAAGGGCAAAAATTAACTTTGGGACTTCATCTAGATAAAAAGCTTTTGCACAGCAAATGAAACAGTCAGCAAAACCAAAAGACAACCAATTAACTGGAAGATATTTGCAAAAGACATATCAGATAAAGGGCTATTTTCCAAAATCTATAAAGAACTTATCAAACTCAACACCAAACCAACACCAACAATTTGTTGAGAACTTATCAAACTCAACAAATAATAACAAACAATCCAATCAAGAAATGGGCAGAAGACAGGAACAGATATTTTTGCAAAGAAGACATCCAAATGGCCAACAGACACATGAAAAAGTGCTCAATGTCCCTTGGCATCAGGGAAATACATATCAAAATCACAGTGAAATACCACCTCACATTAGTCAGAATGGTTAAAATTAACAAGCCAGGAAATGACAGAAGTCAGCGAGGATGTGGAGAAAGGGGAATGCAAGCTGGTGCAGCCACTCTGGAAAACAGTTTGGAGGTTCCTCAGAAAGTTGAAAATAGAGCTATCCTACGACTTAGCAATCCCACTACTGGGTATTTACCCTAAAGATACAAATGTCGTGATCCAAAAGGGCACATGTACCTGAATGTTTACAGCAGCAATGTCCACAACAGCCAAACTATGGGAAGAGCCTAGATGTCCATCAACAAATGAATGGATAAAGAAGATGTGATATATATTTTGCAGTCATCAGAAAAAAATGAAATCTTGCCATTTGCAATGACATGGATGGAACTAGTGGGTATTTTGCTAAGAGCAATAAGTTAGTTGGAGAAAGACAATTATCGTATGATCTCTCTGATAAGAGGAATTTGGGAGGAAGGGTGGGGAGTCATGGGGGGAGGGGAGGGAAAAATTTAAAAAGATGGGATCGGCGGGGAGACAAACCATAAGAGACTGTTAATCTCAGGAAACAAACTGAGGGTTTGGAGGTTTGGGGAGGGAGGGAGGGATCGGGTAGCTGGGTGATGGAAAATGGGGAGGGTATGTGCTATGGTGAGTGCTGTGAATTGTGTAAGACTGATGATTCACAGCTCTGTACCCCTGAAGCAAATAATACATTATATGTTAATAAAAAGAAATGCAATTTGGTTGTGAACTAGCACATCATGATAGTTAACCTCCTGGGAATATGCAGAATATATAATAAAACTATCACCTATTGTTTATTTTAAGTATACCTATCACCTATCTAGAGAATTCTGTTGTATATATAGAAATGTTTTTCGTAACCATGGTTAAAATTAAAGAGAGGTCTATTAAAATGTTCACTTCTTAATTAGAATTAAAAGCATATATAAAATTTTGATTGGCAATATGATACAGAGCTGTACTGTTTAATATAGTTGCCACTAAGTCACAAATGGCTACTTAAATTTAAATAAAGTAAAATAAAATGGAAATCTTAATTTCCTAGTTGCACTATCCATATGTCAGGTGCTCTATAGCCACATATTCAGTGGAGATGTAGACCATTTCTGTATGGGCAGAAAGCTCCTTGAAGCACACTCATCTAGATACTAACATGCTTTACTCCAAAACCCATCATCAATACTTCCTCCTTTTGATGATCGTGACGGTATGCAAAGTGGAGGAGAATATCCAACATCACAGTGACAATGAAGAAAATTATTGCAAACCTGAAATCAAAACCAATAAAAAAATAACATTTTATGTACAACATAAAAATTAAATGCATTACTCTGATTGTTAGTCAATGTAAATTATTGAAGTATTATAATTTATATATTATAGATGGTTTTTACTTAATGTGGAAAATATTTTTTTAAAATAAAATGTAGTATAATAAATTCCCATGCAATTTATTATAATTATACCTTTCAAATACCATAGAGATTTTATTATTATTTTTTAAATTTCTTTTCAGTGTAACAGAATTCATTGTTTATGCATCACGCCCAGTGCTCCATGCAATACATGCCCTCCATAATACCCACCGCCAGGTTCACTGAACCTCCCACCCCCCGCCCCTTCAAAACTCCCAGATTGTTTCTCAGAGTCCATAGTCTCTCATGGTTCATCTCTCCTTCCAATTTCCCTCAACTCCCTTCTCCTCTCTAACTCCCCTTGTCCTCCATGCTATTTGTTATGCTCCACAAATAAGTGAAACCATATGATAATTGACTCTCTCTGCTTGACTTATTTCACTCAGCATAATCTCTTCCAGTCCCGTCCATGTTGCTACAAAAGTTGGGTATTCATCCTTTCTGATGGAGGCATAATACTCCATAGTGTATATGGACCACAACTTCCTTATCCATTCGTCCGTTGAAGGGCATCTTCGTTCTTTCCACAGTTTGGCGACCGTGGCCATTGCTGCTATGAACATTGGGGTACAGATGGCCCTTCTTTTCACTACATCTGTATCTTTGTGGTAAATACCCAGTAGTGCAATTGCAGGGTCATAGGGAGATTGTTTTTTGTTTCATATATTTTTTAAGTAAAAGTAGATAAACTTCTTGACACAACTGAAATGTCTTATTCCAGAAAAGCATAAAATTATGAACCAAAAATTATACTAATCATCAGGAAAATGTAAATCAAAACCTCAATGAGGTATCACTTCACACCGTTCAGAATGGCTAGTATCAAAACAAGAAAAACAAGTATTGGTGAGGATTTAGAGAAAAGGGAACAATTGAACACTGTTGGTGGGAATGTAAATTGGTACAGCCACTGTCAAAAACATTATGGAGGTTCCTCCAAAACATAAAAATATATACAATCTAGTAATTCTAAAACTACTCTTTACCCAGTGAAAACAAAAACACTAATTAGAAAAGGCATATGTTTCTTGCAGCACTATGTACACTAGCAAAGATATGGAAGCAACCTAAGTGGCTATCAGTAGATGAATGGATAAAGACGTGGTATGTGTGTATATATATATATATATATATATATATACACACACACACACACACACAATGGAATGTTACTCAGTCATAAAGAGAGAAAGAGAGAGATCTTGACATTTTTAACAATATGGATGGACCTAGAAGGTATTGTGCTAAATGAAGTAAGTCAGACAGAGAAAGACAAATGCCATATGATTTCACTCATATGAAATCTAAAAAATAAAATGAATAAACAAACAAAAAAGCAGAATTAGACCTAAAAATACAGAGAACAAACTGTGGTTACCAGAAAGAGAAGTAATGGTGAGAATGACCAAACTGGTGAAAGGGAGTGGGAGTTGCAGGCATCAGTTATGGAATGAGTAAGTCATGGGGCTAATAAGCATAGCATAGGGAATATAGTCAATGATATTGTAATAGCAGATGTAGCTACACTTGTGGTGAGCATAGCATAATGTACAGTGTTGCTGAATTACTCTTTTATACCTGCAACTAATGTAACACTGTGGGCAAACTATATTTCAATAAAAAAATATAAAATAGTAGGAGTTAAAGTTTATCTTGAATTGTGTTAAGTTAAAAAATAGCTGTTATAAAATCAAACTTTTACCAAAAATGGGAGAAAAAAGAAACAGAAGTTTGCTTAATGAGATACCAAATACCAAAACATATTTTGCTAGAAATAGGAGGGTTAGAAATTATCTCCAAATGTTATCTGGTGGATGAACTGAAAGAAGGATTGGAAGCAGAATAGGGAACCTAGAACTAGGTCATGCAAAAATTGAATAAGAAATTAAATTAAATTTAAATAAGAAAAAAATATAAAAGAAATTTTTAATAGGGCATGTAAATGATTGGGGAGAAAATCTGAATACAAGACATGCAGGTAGGTCACTTTATTCCCAGATTATTATATAAAATATGAAACGTTGATATGGCAAGAGACACCAGCCACAAAGTTAAAGCCTAAATGTATGTTTAGGAAAACAAAGTTTACACAATTTCTATTCCCTAGTAGATAATTTCACAATGGATAGACAAATAAAAATGCAATTGGCAAGTATGACCATACATATATTGTGCCTAAAAACTCTATCATTAAGGAAATATAAATTAGCAAAGGATTTAGCATGTTGAAAGTGATTTTAAAAAGCTGAGATGCTAGTCTGGTCAGAATTTAAAAAAATGCATATTTTTCTACCTGGTAGGTAGGAATAAAAACTGGTATAATATTCTTTAAACACAATATAATATTTATAAAAATTTAAATGTTGCATAAATGTAGCCAATCATGTATTTCATTAATAATTAAAGAAGTCAGGCAAATGTGCAAAGGTAACTGTACCATAATGTCCATTGTCCCACTACTTACAATAGTTAAGTAAAAGTTAACATTTTCCAAAAATCCATCAGTGAATGATTTAAAATATAGCATCAAGGAGACATACAGGGAAATAAATTGAAACCACTAAAGGATGAATGAGATCTGAATAGACAAGAAACTCTGCTCTTACAAAAATATTAGATTATAATATGTGTAATATAAATATATTGAGTGTGCTTTCAAATATTTATCAGTACACATACACTCAACCACAAGCAATATTTACATGTATATTAAATGTGTATGAGTAATCCTTAAAAAATTCAATTTAGAAATGAATTTATTTCATATTGTATTTTTGTACAAACTTCCAAGCTCATGAGACCTATAACAATGTGACTGAACACACAAACCATATGTATATGTATAAATAACGGAATCTACTTTCCTTATTTTAACTGAAAATTTTTAAAGTAATTTCTATATCAAATAATTCTAAACCTCATTATCTTGGACAATGTTGTTGACATGAATTAAAATAGCTATACTTAGAAATGAAATAACCATTACATACCCCATGTCCACTGCAGTTTATATTTGCATCACAATTTGTTCTCCGTGAGTACAAACTCCTAGGAATACAACGTCCCGTATCACAATACTAAAATGTTAAAAAACAAGCAACAAAAACTGTAAATGTAAAGTCAAAAGTTGAGCAATTGTACTTGGTACAAAAATCAAATGCACAATACACTGTATATTTACATTTCATATAAAATATAATATATATAATATGAATCTGGATTTCACGAATCTACTCATTCTAAAAGAACATGAGAGTCCAAATGACATGTTATTGCTTTACCAAATATAAAATTTTGAAATGAGATACTATATCTTTCCCATGAGGGAGCACAGCTGTGAATTTTTTGATATATTGATACTAATTGATATAGGAACAAAAATTGCCAAGTTGTACTGGTGATTTGTAATGAGACTGGATCTGTCTTTGCACTTTCTATGTATTTTTATGAGATATGCTCATTATACTCAAAGGAAATATTTTTATCCTCATTTTATATTTGATGATAATAAATCTACTCTTTTAAATTCATGCACAAGTTATCAATGGCCAATATTCAGTACAAGAACTCCCTTAGTCACAGAACCACATATTTATCAATGCTAAATTAGTGTTCTTGTCATTTTTATATTTTATATTTTTCCAGCTTTAATGACAATGTCTCTTACCTTTCCTATTTGCACTAAAGCAAGTTATTTAATCTCTCCATACCTCCATTTATCCATCTTTGAATTTGGAATAGCAATTATACCCAAATTTTTTAAAAGTGTAGGTTATGAAGATGAAATAATTTGTTAGACATAAAGGAACAAAAGCAGTGCCTGGCACATAGTAAATCCTTACTAAATACAAGATATCATTTTAAGTATTATTTATTGATGACCTGATTTGTATGTAAACTTTTTTTTTTTTTTTAAGATTTTGTCTATTTATTTGTCAGAGAGAGTGAGCACAGGCAGACAGAGTGGCAGGCAGAGGCAGAGGGAGAAGCAGGCTCCCTGCTGAGCAGGGAGCCTGATGTGGGACTAGATCCCAGGACCTTGGGATCATGACCTGAGCCGAAGGCAGCCGCTTAACCAACTGAGCCACCCAGGTGTCCCATGTATGTAAACTTTATGCTAATTTTAATTTAATGTGAATATCTTCAGGGGAGTCTGTAAAAATTATGTTGGCTTTTCTCAAGTTATCTGATAGACTATTCACTATATGATAAATAGTCTTAAAAATCATTATTTTCTATCACCATTAACCAATCACCATAAAGGAAAGAATATCAGCTTCTTCATCACTGTAAGTGCTCTGATGAAACTAGCAAGAATAACAAAATGTTGGGCAAATCAGCATTACCTGTCCAAAGAACCATCTTCTTTCTAGTTCTCCTTAAACATTATCACTGAAGCAATAATAAACTAGTCATACTTCACTGCATTGTCTTTAGGGGAAAAATAATCCAGGAAAAGTTAAGACCCATACTTCTGATATAGTTATTTTTTTTTAAGATCGTATTTATTTATTTGACAGATAGAGATCACAAGTAGGCAGAGAAGCAGGTAGAGAGAGAGGAGGAAGCAGGCTCCCCACTGAGCAGAGAGCCCAATGCAGGGCTTGATCCCAAGACCCTGGGATCATGACCTGAGCTGAAAGCAGAGGCTTTAACCCACTGTCATCCAGGCGCCCCTGATACAATTACTTTCAAGTAAACAGATCAATTTGTAGTTGGCTCTTTTGTAATGACAGAAAAAGTTAGAGACACTATAAAAAGTACTTAGCCTTGGGCAATGATTGATATGATGTTTTGAATATAAACTACTCTACAAGACCTCCTTCTTTCAATAAGAGACACAAAAAGTGTCCTAGAAGCAGGACATCATGGTTCAAAGAAAACAAAAGAAAAAAGAGGAAACAATAAGAAGCAATGTAAGTAAATACCTATTTCCTAAGGAGAAATGTCTAAATTATTTAAGCATATTTCCTTATAGTCCCAGGTATGAGTAAGAAAAAGGCAGTTAATTGTATTTATTTATTCATTAATTAGCTTACCTAATTTTGGACAGTAAAATGAACTTTTTTCTTTTTTTCTTTTTCTTTATTTTTTTTAAATTAGATTTTATTTTATTTTTTCAGTGTTCTAAGATTCACTGTTTATGCACCACACCCATTGCTCCCTGCAAGTTGGTGCAGCCACTTTGGAAAACAGTGTGGAGATTCCTTAAAGAAATTAAAAATAGAGCTACCCTATGACCCTACAATTGTGCTACTGGATATTTACCCCAAAGATACAGATGTGGTGAAAAAAATGTACCTTTTTCAAGTTTGAAAGGAATGTGTTGAGATGTGATTATCTTCCCTACCCTACCTAAGCAAGCTAGAAATCAAATGATAAACTAGCCTCCTGTTCTAAGTCTTATAAATTAAAAAAAAAATCATAAAATCTTTCTATCACATCCAATATTAAGCAAACTTGCATTGTTGGAAATAATGCTTATCTCTATGTAGTATACTTTTTCTCAGTATTAAATATATGTGTTTTGTTTAAAATTTTGTTATGATTCATAAGAGACATACTTTTCTTCATGTTAATAAATAAGACATATAGTCTCCCCTCTCTCCCTCTTTCTCTTATCAAGATAACTTTTACATAGGAGCCATAGTTAATGAGAGTAAGATAAAAACATCTTTTCTTTCCAACCACTCTGAGATCAATTGAACAATGTAGAATAACAATGAAAATAAAGTATATCTGATGAATTTTTAAAATAACTACAGAATAATACCAGTTCAAATCCACAGACATGGCACTCACAATTGCTCCCCTTTCCCAATTAAACTGAGTAAAGGAGAATCAGAACAAGGCAATTAGAAGATGAGAGATTTAAGAACTTCCTGGGATTTCAAAATAAAACGAAGGCCACTGATGGGTAAAATGAAGTGAGGAAGCAACCACATCACATACAATGGTCAAGGAGGGAGCTTGGTTGACCAGCCTACGATGCTTGGAGGATCTGCAGCCTCAGAGTAATAAGGAAAAGCAAAGGATAGAGCCAAAAGTGCGGTTTGGCCAGGGAGGCAAAATGCGCAATTATCCATGGAAGTGTCCACAAAATCACAGAAGCAGTTAGCTCTCATATTCACTACTCAACTCTCCATTCTCTCAATTACAAAATGCAGCCAGCACAACACTTTTATCCCAAGGGAGAAAATTTAGAAAGGTATTTTGTTTCCGAAAGCAATTGAATTAATGGTGATTATAGAATTTGGGTTTTTCAAGAGGTGTACTCTAGAAGAGTTGTTAGTCAATTGAACTACTGGAAGTACCATGCCCTAAAGGCCAGTTCCCTAATGAATACTATCATGTGACAAGCCCCTGTTACATGTAGAAGCCTGTCAATTGGTTGGGGGATTTTTGTTTGTTTTTAATTTTAAGTAGTTAACATATAATGCAATATGGGTTTCTGGAGTAGAGCACTGGGTGTTATATGTTAACTGATGAATCACTAAATTCTACTCCAGTTGTTTTATTTGTTTGTTTATTTATTTATAAATTAAAAATGGTATGGGAGTATAAAGACAGGCCAGCTGAAAGCTTCTATAGAACCAAGTAGGAAAAGTTGGCTTGCTTTCTTCCAGCTCGCCCTTCCTTCCTCCCTCCTTCCTTTCTTTTCCTTCCTTCCTTCCTTCCTTCCTTCCTTCCTTCCTTCCTTCCTCCCTTCCTTCCTTCCTTCTTTCCTTTCTACCTACCTTCCTACTTTCCTTCCTTTCTTCCTTTCCTTTCTTCCTTCCTTCTTTCCTTCCTTCCATTTTCCTTTCCCATCCTCTCCCTTCAGTTTCCTTCCTCCCTTACTTCTTTCTTTGATTTCCCCTCCATGGGGACATTGGCCAGGTGGACATAGGCTAATGATCAGACTTTCCCAGGCAGAGAATCACTGATGAAGAGGTGAGTGACCTGTAAAGTTTTTAGTGGTCATATGCAGTAGTGGGACTAACCAGCATGGAAATCTTCTGTGGCATATGTATGTTTTAATTGTCACCATTAAAATTGTATTTTACTTGTACATGTTATTTCACTCTCACTACTTTTAAGATAAGATTATTTTTCTTTGTCTTTAATTTTCAGAAATTTCATTATGCTGTATTCTGCTGTGGATTTCACTGGGTTCATCCTATATGATGTTCTTCGCTTTTTGCATCTGGGTATTTGTGCCTTTTGCCAAATGTGGAAACATTCCAAGTATTATTCCCTGAAATACTTTTCCATCCTTCAATTCTTTCTCCTATTCTTCTAGGATCTTAGAATGACTTCTATAATAACACAAAGCAATAATAAATGTTTATGACAATGTAGAGAAAATGGAACCCTTGTGCACTATTGGTAGAAATGTAAATCAGAAAATAGTATGATAGAAATAGAATAGCATGGAGGTTCTTACAAAAAATTAAAGATAGAAACATCATATGATAGAGCAATTTCACTTCTGGGTATTTATCCAAAATAAATGAAAACTTGTAACTCAAAAATATATATGCACTTTCATATTCACTGCAGCATTATTTACAGTAGACAAAATACATAAGCAACCTATATGTCCACTGAGGAATGAATGAATAAAGCAAATGGAGCAAATATACACAATGGAATATTACTCATCCATAAAAAAGAATTAAATCTTGCATTTGTGACAACATGAATGAACCTTGAGAACAGTAGTTGACTGAAATAAGTCAGACAGAGAAATACAAATACTGTGTTATCTTAATTGTATGTATAATTTAAACAATAAAATCCAAGTTCCTAGATGCAGAGAACAGATTGGTAGTTGCCAATGGTGGGGCTCTAGGGGAGTAGATAAAATGGGTGAATGGGGTAAAAAATTACAAACTTGCAGTTATAAAATAAATAAGTAATGAGAATTATAGTACAGTATGGTGACTACAGTTAATAACACTATTGCATATTTGAAACTTGCTAAAAGAGTAAAACTTCAACATTTTTAAAATAATAAAAAAATTTTGTAACAATGTATAGTAATGGATGTTAACTAGATTTCTTACAGTTGTCATTTCACAATATATACAAATATTGAATCACTATGTTGTACACCTGAAACTAAGGTAATGTTATATTTCAATTATATGTCAATCAAAATTAGTAACAAATAATAATTTTTAAAAATCAATAAAAACATGTAACAATATATTTAACTCCATAGACATTTCTAAATCACTTCCCAGAAATTATGTGTTAATTTATATTTGTTTTAGGATGATAATAAGCTATGCTTCTCATCATCAATCACCAACCTAGAAGCGTACTAAATCTCATTGTTTAAAAGTTTTTATATTGTTCAATCTCTAACCACACTACTTCCCTTCTTGAAAGCTGAAAGTTATAACTCTTTAATCAATTGGTCTTACTAGTGATCAGCTCCATCATAAAGTTACCTAAGGTCTTCATCCTGTTACTTCATTAGCATAAATTCAGTTTGATTAGAAGAGGCTCTTCATGAATAACAACAACAATAACAAAATTCCTATTACTCAGGAAATTCCAAGGGGTTTAGGGGCTCTGTGCCAGAAATCAGGGACAAAGATCAAATTGTTTTTGCACCATTTGAGTGCTTTTGTTTTTCTAATAATGAATAATTAAAATTGCTGATTAAATTTATGTATTTAATCTCTTACATTTGTAGTAAACATTTTTTCAATTTGTCTGAAATAATCCTTAAAGGGATGACATATTACTTTTATAAGGTAGTCAGCACTATGTGTTCCTTTGTGATTAGTTCAGTATTTTTATGCAGAAATACATTTTCCCATTTTGAGATAAATTTACTACTCATTTCCATTTTCCTCTTTTTCATTTCTTAAAATATTGTATCTTGATATAAATTATCTAAAATTAAACATGAGATACTTGAGTAGTGTTTTAAATTAGCCAACTAATTTTTCAATGGTAGTAAGCTTAAAGATCCTTTATTTTGTTTCTTAAACTATTTACAGAAAAGAAAAAGAAATAAAGCTTAAACTCCATTTTATTATTGTATCTTGTGTCACGGCCAAATTTTTAACAACTATATAGCATACTTTCGGAAGAACAATTAGAGGAGTTGACTAATGAGCAAATAGCTGTTTTATTTTCATTAAAATCAAATTAATTCTTCTTTGTCAATTATTGCAGGACTAAATACTTGGCTATTTTTGTTTTCTTTGCTGTTCTTATTATTCAGGTTGTTTTCACTTACAGTTTTGCTGTATTGATTCTTTTTTGTTTTTTCTATAAATTTTTGCAGACCAGATCCTGGCCTAATGAAGAGGTTAATATTCTTAAGTATGAGAAAACAAGTTTAAATATCTATAGCAAAATTCATAATAAACAAATGATAGTGAAGCAAGTGTTTTTTGACCAACAGAAATTTTGAAATTTAAATCTTAAGATAATGATGCAGTAACCAAAATTTATAATCTTAATTGTATTAACAGATGTTAAGGTCTTCTCTGTTTCTCTCTCATATGTGTGCATGTGCACACACACACAGACACCCGCACACCACATACTTAACCAAGTCAAATTTTTATTTACCTTATTTGGACCACACATAGTGCCATTTGAAGTATAGGTAAAATCTTCTGTTACATATTTTGTTGGTACTCTTAAATATGCAGAGACACACAGATGGCCTTCCATGTAAGTATATTGAATATCAAATTTTTTAAATGGTATTATTTCTAAACGTGTCCAGTGACAAACTATCTTTCCACAAAGGATATCCCTGGCAATAAGGCAGAAGAAATTATCTAAAGGCAGAAAAAATTATCTAAATCTCACTTAAGGACAAAAATATAAGGGAAATAATAGTTCAAAATATGAGGATTATTGAATATGTTATAGATCATAGCACCAAAGCTATTCAAAACAAAACAATCTTAGGAAGTGCAACATTAATATTTATCTGTATATAATGCATTCATTTCTCTTTTGTATTAAATGACTCTTTTCAGTACAAACACACAAACACAACTGGAAAAGGTATAATTTTCTAAATACATACTTAAAATTACAAAAGTTTCTTCTACAGTTTCCAAAATCATCTTCCTGCATATTTACTTCTTGTGTACACAGAAAAGTAGAACCCTTTGCAACTGAAGATATAAATAAAGTTCCAATTACTCATCTTTAAAAAGATTAAAAACTTAAAAAGTATGATAAATTAATATAGAGACATCTAGATGACAGCAATGCCCAATCAGTGTCACCTACAGTAACTTTTTGGTGTTATCTACTGGCTATACAAGAAGAAAAACTAAAAACTATCCACTTGAGAATAAGAAAATTGCCAGCATAGTGCAGAAATTATTGAGAAATCAATCACTTACTCTCTTACCTGCAATTCTAATATTCTACTCCTTTTCCACCACTTACCTGAAATTTGACTAATATCTTGTTTTTTGTCTTATAATCATTAGATCTACCTCTTGATATAATTCAAAGTTGTTTTGATTTGCAACTTATTTTCAAATTTGGATTTACACAAACAATACCTTTTATCATGGCTACAGGGTAGATTACTAACTTTAGGAAAATGTAGTTTTAAAATGAACCCCTGAGGAGCCCACACAGGAAAGATAAACCTGCATATTTGGTTTTGAAAGCAGGAGGAGACAAATTTTATGAATTCTTACAACCAATGGTATTTAAAGCTTGAAATTTTAAAAATCAGCAGGTAGGCTATGGTTGAGCCTAGAGGTCATTAGGAAGCTGAGTTCCCACTCTTAGGTAGCAGAACAAACAGCCAGCAGAGATATAACATGGAAACAGCAGTTTGAAAAATACCAGGGGCAGAAAGGCAGGAGAGGGATTTACTCATCTCAGAGCATCATTCAGAGAAGCCAGGATCATAGAGAAATGACTCCAAAAACAAGCTGTCAGGTGCCATTTTCCTCCCCACCCCTCAATATAAACACAGAGTCACCTGCAAGAAAGAGCATGGCACAAACAATTGCTACCTAACTTGCTTATACCAAGCCCCACCCCCCATACTTTAGTGGATCAGCCCTTCCCAGTCATGCTTGCCCTAATCCCAATGCATGGGCCTCCCACCCCAGAAGATCAGTGCAAAACCCACCAATACCCAGTCAATAGACTCTCGTATTTTATGGGACCTCAGTTCCTGCAGTGATGATGGCAGCAGGTCTCATTTCACAAGAAGACCAACACACACCTTGTTAAAATGTGCTGCACCTAGCCATGGACCAAACACTGTGCACAGCAGGCAAAGAGAGTCTCTGCAGACAACTTTACTGAAGGAAAAAGAGAGCTCAGGCAACACACTCAACTCACTGAAAGTATCAGGTCCTGGAGAACAGGGAACACTGTAACTGCAGGGTACTAAAGGAGCACTTCTTCATAATGCCATTATTTTCAATAGCAAGAGAAATAGCTGAATTTCCTAACACAGAGAAACAAACACAGTTAGACAAAATGAGATGACAGAGGAATGTGCGCCAAATGAAGGAATGAGACCAAACCACAGTAAGAGACCTAACCAAAACTGATACAGGTAATATGCCTGATAGACAATTTAAAGTAGTAATCATAAAGATACTCCCTGGACTGGAAAAAAGAGTGGAGGACATCAGTGAGACTCTTTAAGAAAAAGATAAAAAAGAACTAAAGATGAAGAACACAATAAATGAAATTAAAAATACACCCAATAGAATAAATAGTAGGCTACATGAAGCAGAGGAAAAGAACTAATAACCTGGAAGTCAGAGGCCTGGAAAATAATCAAGCTGAACAAATAAGAATAACAATAATTATGCAAATTTAGAATAGTTTTAGGGAACTTAGTGACTGCATCAAGCATAAAATATTTGCATTATGGGATCCTAGAAGAAGAGAAAGAAAAGGGAGCAGAAAATTTTTTTGGAGAAATAATAACTGAAAATAATTGATAGTAATACAATAGCAATAGGGGAATTTAACAACCCACTTATGTCAATGGACAGATCATCCAAATAGAAACACAACAAGGAAACAGTGGTTTTGAATGGCACAGTGTACTAGATGGATTTAACAGATATATTCAGAACATTCTATCCTAAAAGAGCAAAATACACATTCTTTTCAAAGGCACATGTGACATTCTCCAGAATCAGCCCACAAAACAAGCCTCAACAAACTCAAGAAGATCAAAGTCATACCATGCATCTCTTTTGACCACAGTGCTATAAAACTGGAAATCAACCACAAGAAAAAAGATCTGGAGAGATCATAAATGCATGGAAGCTAACTAATGTGCTACTAAACAATAAATGGGTTAACCAAGAAATCAAAGATGACATCAGAAAGAACATGGAAACAAATAAAAGCAAAAACACTATAGTCCAAAACCTCTGGGATGCAGAAAAAAAGCAGTTCTAAGAGGGAAGTTTAAAGCAATGCAGGCCTACCTCAAGAAGCAAGAAAAATATCATATAAACAGCCTAACCTGGTACCTGAAGGAACTACAGAAAGAACAACAAACAAAACCCAAAACCAGCATAAGGAAGGAAAAAATAAATATTAGAGCAGAAATAAGTTATATAGACACTAAAGGAACAGTAAAACAGATCAATAAAACCAAGAGGTGGTTCTTTGAAAATATCAATGAAATTAATACACCTCTAGCCAGAACAAAAAAAGAGAGAGAGGAAAAAGAGAGAGAGAAAAGAGAGAGGACCTCCCCCCCCAAAAAATAGAAACAAATGAGGAAAAATAACAAACAACACCACAGAAACACAAAGAATTATGAGAATATTATGAAAAATTGTATGCCAACAAATTGGAAACCTAGAATGAATGGATAAATTCCTAGAAATATATAAACTACCAAAACCAAATTTGAAAAGATCTATTACTAGCAAAATGGAATTTAATCACCAATCAAAAAAATTCCCAACAAACAAGAGTCCAGGACCAGATGGCTTTACAGGCAAAAGATACAAAACATGTAAAGAGGAGTTAATATCTATTCTTCTCAAACTATTCAAAAAAATAGAAAAATAGAAAGAAGGAAAACTTCCTACTTCATTCTATGAGACCATAATTGCCCTGATATCAAAACCATATGAGGGAAAAAAAAAAAAAAGGAAAAGAAAAAAAGAAAAAAGGAAAGAAAAAATTTTAAAAAAGAAAAAAAAAATTATAGGACAATATATCTGATGAACATGAGGTGAAAATCCTCAACAAAATACTAACAATCCAAATCCAATAATATAGTAAAAAATCATTCACCATGAACACATAGAATTTATTCCTGGGATGCAAGGGCAGTTCAGTATTCACAATCAGTATCACATCAATAAGAGAAAAGGCAAGAACCATATGAGAATTTTAATAGATGCAGAAAAAGCACTGGACAAAGTATAACATCCATTCATAATAAAAACCCTCAAATAAGTAGATCTATAATAGAAATAAGTCCTATCCCCAGTAATCAGACAACAAAAGGAAATATATAGTATCCAAATTAGTAAGGAAGTAGTCCAAGATGGTGTGGAGGACTTGGAAAACTTAGTTTCACCTGGTCCCAGGAATTCAGCTAGAAAGCTATCAAATTAGTCTGAACTCAACTGGAGACCTAAGAAAGGAATAGATGCAACTCTACAATAGAAAAGCCACCACTTTCTGCAAGGTAGGAGGTGTGAAGTGAATCCAAGGCAATACATGGGAAGATAAATCATGGGGGAAGAGAGCCTCCATCAGTCAGCTATCAGAAAGTGATGTGGCAATGGAGCTCAAAATCAGAACTTTTCAAAGTCTTCTCCAGATGTCCCTGCCTGAAAGGCACTAAGATGGCAAAGCAGGGTAGAATCCTAGGTGAGACAGCATGGTCTCAGGATCTCCAGAGTTAAGAAAGAACAGGGATGCTTGAGCATGGCAGAGTTCCCTAGGCATCTGAGCTGGAAAGCCAGGTGCAATCAGCAAGTCCAGTAGTGGACACTAGGCTCAGGGTTGCCATAATGCCCAAACCACAGCATGATCAGGCTACCACTCTCTCAGCTGGGTCCCAGCAAGGAGAAAAACCAAGCCAAGACACCTCCCCAACCAGGAACATCACATGTGTCTGTTGTAGGAGTCTGTAGGGTTTGGAGACTTGAAGTAGGATCACGTGTCTGAGACAGAAATGCTTGGTCACAGGCTGGGTGAGCATGGAGGGTGGACAGAGACCAAGGAGATAGGAGTGATTGATTGCTTATCCATGAAGGGGCACTGAGTAGTTGGGGGTGCAAGCTTTTAGCTCTGAGACTGGAGATTGGGAGGTCACCATTTTCATTCTCATCCTCTAGAGAGACATTCAAAGCCTTCAGGGAACAAAAGCCCTAGAGCAACCCAGAGTCACTTATTTAGCCTAAACTCCTGGCAAGGGTGGTGCAGTTCTACCAGGTGCAAAGACATGTGAGAATTAGTGGAACAGGCCCCTTCCCCCAGAAGATCAGCAAGAACATCTTGTTAAGACCAAGTTTGCTGATCACAAATAACTGCAAAACTCCAGTGCTAAGGGAAAATTGTATATAGAATTCATGGTTTTTCTCCCATGATTCTTTAATCTTCCAATTTTAATTTTTTTCTCTTTCCTTTTTCAACCAATTTCTTATTTTATCAACTCATTTTAAAGTCTTTTTTAATTTTTGCCTTTACAATTACACAATTACATTTATCCTTTCACTGTATTTAATTTTATTTTTGTGCATAAAAAAGTTTTTCTTTCTTTGCCATTTTGGGATATAGTTTCTTCTAACAAACAGAACAAAATATCCCCAGGACATAGTGTACTGTTTTGTTCTGTTCACCTGTCTGTTTCTATTCTTTCTTTTTGGTTTTTTTTTGCCTTTTTATTGTCTTTTAATTTCATTTTTATAATTATACTCTATCCTTATATTGTATATAATTTTTTTTTTACTGATATGTTTTTCTTTACAGTTTTGGGATCTACTTTTCTATTAAACAGACCAAAATACACACAGGATCCAGCATATTGTTCTGTTCTGTTCCCCTGTCTGATTATATTCTCTCTTTTTTCCTTTTAATTTTATTTTTCAGTTTCAGGTCTCTTCTGATTTGCTTAGTGTACATTTCTCTGGGTCATTGTCGCCATTTTAGTATTTTGTTCTCACATGCATCTATTCTTGCATCATCTCTCTCTGGGCAGAATGACAAGAAGGAAAAATTCACATCAAAAAGAGAACAAGAGGGAGTAGTGACTGACAGGGACCTAATCAGTGTGGATATAAGTAATATTTCGGAACAAGAGTTCAGGATAACAACTATATTAAAGATGCTAGCTGGGCTTGAAAAAAGCATAGAAGACACCAGAGAATCCCTTTCTGGAGAAATAAAAGAAATGAAATCTGATCAAGTTGAAACTAAAAAGACTAAATGAGATGCAATTAAAAAAACTGGAGGCTCTAACTGCTGGGATAAATGAGCCAGAAGAGAGAATTAGTGATATAGAAGACAAAATGATTAAGACTAAAGAAGCTGAGAAAAAGAGAGATAAAACAACTACTGGATCATGAGGTGAGAATTTGAGAGATAAGTCATACCATAAAGTGAAACAATATTAGAATAATTGGTATCCCAGAAGAAGAGGAAAGAGAAGGTGTATATAGGAGCAAATTATAGTGGAGAATTTCACTAATCTGAGGAAGGAAACAGGCATTCAATTCCAGGGGACACAGAGACACTCCCTCAAAATCAATAAAAATAGGTCAGTATCTCCATATATAAAAGTGAAACTTGCTAATTTCGGAGACAAAGAGAAAATCCTGAAAGCAGCTCAGGAAAAGAGGTCTGTAACCTACAAGGGTAGAAATATTAGACTGGCAGAAGACCTGTCCACAGAGACCTTGCAGGCCAGAAAGGACTGGCATGATATATTCAGGGTGCTAAATGAGAAAAAATATGCAGTCAAGAATACTTTATCCAATATGGCTGTCATTTAGGGAAGAGGGAGAGATAAAATGATTCCAGGACAAACAGAAAAATAAAATTTGTGATCACTAAAACAGCCCTACAAGAAATATTAAAGGGAATCCGTCAAGGAGAGTCAGAGCCCAAAAGTTAAAAAGAACAGAAAGGAACAGAGACAATATACAGAAAGTCATTTTACAGATAATACCCTAATATACAGATAATGCCCTAAATTCCTATCTTTCAATAGTAACCCTGAATCTAAATGGGCTAAATGCCCCAATCAAAAGACACAGGGTATCAGACTGGATAAAAAAGCAAGATCCTTTAATATGTTATCTGCAAGAGACTCATTTTAGACCAAAAGACACCTCCAGATTAAAAGTAAGGGAGTGGAGAACCACTTATCATGTTAATGGGCATCAAAAGAAAGCTGGGGCAGCAAGCCTTAAATTGGACAAAGTAGATTTTAAACCAAGGACTGTAATAAGAGATGAGGAAGGACATTATATCATACTAAAAGCATTTATCCAACAAGATCTAATAATCTTAAATATTCATAACATAAGAACAGCCAATTATACAAGCCAAAACAAAGTGAAAGAAATATATTGATAATAATACAGTAATAATAGAGGACATTAACACCCCACTCATAGCAATGGACATATCATTTAAGCAGATCAGTAAGGAAATAGGGCTTTGAATGACACACTGGACCAGATGGACTTCACAGACATATTCAGAGTATTCCATCCTAAAGCAACAGAATACACATTTTTCTCAAGTGCACATGGAACATTCTCCAAAATAGATCACATACTGGGTCACAAGCCAGGTCTCAACCAGTACCAAAAGATGGGGATCATTCCCTGCATATTTTCAGACCACAGTGCTTTGAAACTTGAACTCATCCACAAGAGGAAAGTTGGAACAAACTCAAATACATGGAGGATAAAGAGCATCCTACTAAAGAATGAATGAGTCAACCAGGGAGTTAAAGAAGAATTTTTAAAAATTATGAAAGCAAATGAAAATGAAAACACAAGTATTCAAAACCGCTAAGTTGCAGTGAAGGCAGTCCTAAGAGGGAAGTATATAGCAATATAAGATTTTCTTAAGAAACAAGAAAGGTCTCAAATACACAACCATACACCTTAAAGGAGCTGAAGAAAGAACAGGAAAGAAAGCCTAAACCCAGAAGAAGAGAATTATTAAAGATTGGAGCAGAAATCATGAAATAGAAACCAAAAAACAAGAACAGATCAATGAAACAGATCTGGTTCTTTGAAAAAATTAATAACATTGATAAACTCCTCACCAGATTTATCCAAAAGAAAAGAGAAAGGACACAAATAAAATTATGAATGAAGGAGATCTCACAATGAACAACAAAGAAATACAATTATATGAACATATTATGAGCAACTATATGCCAACAAATTAGACAATCTAGAAGAAATGGATGTTTTATAAACTACCAAAACTGAAACAAGAAGAAATAGAAAACCTGAACAGACCCATAACCAGCAAGGAAACTGAAGCAGTAATAAAAAAATCTTCCCCCCAAAAAAACCAAGAGTCCAGGATCAGTTGGTCTCCCAGCAGAATTCTATCAAACATTTAAAGTGTTGAGGGCCAGAAGGCTTCCCAAAGGAATTCTATCAAACATTTAAAGAAGAATTATACCTAATACCAGCTGTTTCAAAAAGTAGAGATGGAAGGAAAACTTCCAAACTCTTCCTATGAGACCAGCATTACCTTAATCCCCAAATCAGAAAAGACCTCACAAAAAAAGAAAATTATAGACCAATATATCTCATGAACATGGATGCAAAAATTCTCAACAAGATACTAGCCAATAGGATCCAACAGTACATTAAAAGCATTAGTCACCATGACCGAGTGGGATTTATTTCTGGGATTCAAGGGTAGTTCAACATCCACAAATCAATCAATGTTATACACTATATTAAGGAAAGAAAGTGCAAGAACTATATGATCCTCTCAGTAGATACAGAAAAAGCATTTGGCAAACTACATCCTTTCTTGATCAAAACTCTTCACAGCATAAGAAAACACACCTCAATATCATAAAAGCCACATACAAAAAAACCACAGGAAATATCATTCTCAATGGAAAAGAAAAAGCAAACAAACTGAGAGCATTCTCCCTAGGGTCAAGAACACGGCAAGGATGTCCACTGTCACCAGTGTTGTTCAACATAGTACTACTAGAAGTAACCTCAGCCAGCAGATAACAGGAAGAAATAAAAGGCATCCAAATTGGCAAAGAAGTCAAACTCTCACTCTTTGCAGATGACATGATACTCTATATGGAGAACCCAAAAGACTCTAGGAAAAAATTTCTAGAAGTGATACAGGAAGTCAGGAACAATGCTAAGCAAAATAAGTCAATCTTAGAAAGACAAATATCACATGATTTCACTCACATGTGGAATTGAAGGCACAAAACAAACAGAGGGGAAAAAAGGAGAGAAATGCAAACCAAGAAACAGACTCTTAACTCTAGAGAACAAACCAATGGTTACCAGATAATGGATATAAAGGGGATTAAACAGTACACATATCATGATGAGCACTGAGTAATGTATAGAATTATTATATTACTGAAGTTTACACCTGAAGCTAATAAAATTCTGTATGCTAATTTTACAGGGAAAAAGTATAAGACAAAATAATGAAAATGAACCCCAGAAAAAAAGTACAACTATTACATTTTCCAAATAAGTCTGCACACTGTTTATCTGTATCTTGGCATACTCCATTATAGCAATAGGCAGTCTTATTATTGCATGGTTCTAAATCAGCAGATTTCGTATCAGGTACACAAAATTCACTTTTTCCATCACAAAATTCTGGAAAATCACATGGATCTTTGCTTTCCCGACATACAGTTCCTCTTACAGATATCTGTGGGACAAAGAAAAACAATTAGTTTTGTAAGGTAGGAAACCAAAACTATAAAACAACTTATACAAGAACAAAGTATTTCTGTCATTTCCATTAATATTATATTTGGCTTATTTGTAATTTTCTTATAAGCTGTTGGGTCATGAAGAACTACATTCAGGTATTGCCTCAGGTATGACCAAGAAGAATTCATATGCCCAAATAATCTGGAATTGGTATTGGATAACTGGATGGATCTTGAGTGGAGATTGAAACAATACAGTAAAGGCAAAGATAAGAAAGAAGTTGAAAAAAATCTAAGATCTTCTGAATTCTGAAGTCAACTGTGTATTAATCAAGTATTTAAAGTTATATATTTGAAAGATACGAAAAAAGAAGTAAAAAAAAAATAAGTGAATACACAATAGCAGAAAAAAAATCATGAAAGAAAATACGATAGTAATTTGAAAGCTTACCAGGCAAGTTTCTCTATCACAGCACGGTCCAGTGCCACAATCTGCAAATTCAGTCAGAGTACAATCTGCAGGATTACAGCATTTTTGAAATTCTCTGCAATGCTAAAAGTAAATATAATTAAGTTTAATAATAAGAATTCTCAATCAAATAAATCATTTTATTTATTGTCAAAATGTACTATAGTATGTCTCTTAGTTAATTACAATCACAATATGAACTTGTTTTTATTTTTAACACCATTTCATTTAAAATATAGTTCCAGTATGGGAAAAAGATAGTAATGAAATTATCTATGATTCTATGCTTAAGAAACTGAACTGCTAAAAATTTAATGTAAATTGTCAATGTTCTTTGTGTTCATAAATAGATGCACTATAAGTTTAAAAGTATTTTTTCCATTTACTATAAGTACTTTTTCATCTCATCATATTGAGATTATATAAAATAAATAAAAATAAAATTAAAATTTATGAATGTTACAAAATAGAGGTTTCTAAATTATAACATTTTTATTCAATGAAAATTTTATTTTTATTATTTTTATCTCCAAGATTTTATATTAAAGATTAATTCTAGCAGTAAGTAGATCATAGAGTATAAAACTATTAAAGACTACAACATACTCTTATTTCCTTCTTTCTATATATGTATTAAGTGCAAGAGTGATGTTTCACAAGACTGATAGTAACATTTAAAAATTAGTAAAGCGATAGGTGTTATAGGTAAAAATAACTAAGTGCTTACATCTGTTTCAATTTTATTATTTTCATTACTAATGTGCTATAAATTTTTAAAAATGCACATTCTGGTTTATTTTATATTTGTATGCATATATTTCTGTCAAATCATTCTGCTTATTTCCTTTATTTGTAAGCACTTTTATAGTAATTATATTAATCCCTGGCCACCAATATATGTTTGCTATATTTTATAATTTGTCATTGACAACTGACTTTTGGTGCATTTTTTGTTTGTTTGTTTGTTTGGGTAAATTTTTGATATTGTGAGAGTGTGAGATAGTAGACCTATCTAAGAACTCTGAGAACTATCATATTTTTGGGGTTTGTTCTTGAGTTTATGAATAGAAGTTTCTTCCACTCTAACCCCAGGAAATATGTGAGTCTTCGTATGTGTGTAAAATGTGTCATACATACTATGTATGTATTTATTTATTTTTTGTTGAATGGTTTGAGTAGTGTGCTGTGAAAGAAACTATAATGATGTATCTCTTTCCCAAAACAGAAGTTTATCGGTTGCTTTTATAGAATAATAATTTATTCATGAACTTTTGTAATACCTGGATTGTTATATAAATATCCTATATAAAATTAGATACAATGTCAGTGTCTTCAATTGCATTAACTGCATATACTAAAGTATATTTTAAAATGTTATTATTGGGTGCCTGGATGGCTCAGTCAGTTAAACGTCTGCTTTTGGCTCAGGTCCTCTGATCCCAGGGTCCTGGGATAGAGTCCCTGCATTGGGATACCCTGCTTAGTGGGGACCCTGCTTTTCCTTCTGCTTCTGCCTACCACTCTCCCTGCTTGAGCTCTCTATCTCTCTATGCCAAATACATAAATAAATTTTAAAATGTTATTATTGTATAAGTTTTAATATTTACAAGAGTCAGATATTTTTGTTTCATTATGAGAAAGAATGTATTATGCTTCATAATATAAAGATTTTAATAAAACTTATCAAAAGTATTTAGTGAAGACAGAAGATTGAACACACACTAAATATTAATGTTGGGGGAGTGGACAAAAATCAATGACATGAAAAGGGAAAGCCTCCTAAGGCTAGAATCAAAAAGAGAGCCTATAGTGAAGAGCATTTTTTGACACTACTCAGTGTATAATGGAAAGCTACAATAAACGTTGGGCTTAGAAATTGATGTTCAATGAATCGTGGTTTAAAAATGGAATCCCACAATGGGACCAAACATGAGAACTTTTTAAAATAGGTTAACTGTTAGGGAGTCTGGGTGTCTCAATTAATTAAACTGCCACCTTCAGCTCAGGTAATAATCCCAGAGCCCTGGGACTGAGCTCCACATCAGGCACCCTGCTCTGCAGGAAGCCTGCTTTTCCTTCTCCCATGCTTGTGCTCTCTAGCTCTCTCTTTATTTATTTTTCAAATAAATAAATAAAAATCTTTAAAAAAATAGGTAACTGTGGTATGCCATTGAGAAATTAGAGAAATCAAAAGGATATAATTTTTAGTTCTAGATATCCAAACTTTTATAAAATGTCTCTTCAGTATTTAATATCATAATTTTTGTTTCTCTGTTAATTTTGATATATGTTGAAAAGTACTGAAATGATTTCCTACTTCTGGAATAAACTCCAAAAGTATATTCTTTTTTCATATATTCACTGGGATTATTTGATCACTTTAATTTAGACATTTTGTGGGTATTTTCCAAAATATGAATCATTCAAAGAAATCTTAAACTGGCAATCAGAGGAATCAACTTTCATGATTTAATTCTGTTTCTATATACCTGCAAAGGACACCGGAAATAGATTTTTTAAAAAGATACACAATTTATAATAACATTCAGAAATATGAAATATTTAGGTTTTAATTTAATTAGAGATATCTAAATAAATAGAATATACCATGTTCATAGTTTGAAAATCACATTAAGAATACATTAATTCCCCGCAAATTCATATATAGATACAAAAGAGTTCCAATTAAAATTTCACAAAGTTTTTTTTATTTTGGGGGGGGATATGAGTAGAAATGGAAAAGTTGATTCCAAATTTTACACAGAAATGCAAAGACCTAAAATCACCAAATCTATCTTCAGAAAAAGGTACAAAATATGAAGACACAATTTACCTAATTTTGTGAATCAGAGTAAGAAGGGCTGGTATTAATGTAAGGCTAGATATATGGATCAATAAAACACAAAGTAGGGCGCCTGGGTGGCTCAGTGGGTTAAGCCGCTGCCTTCGGCTCAGGTGATGATCTCAGGGTCCTGGGATTGAGTCCCGCATCGGGCTCTCTGCTCAGCAGGGAGCCTGCTTCCCTTCCTCTCTCTCTGCCTGACTCTCTGCCTACTTGTGATCTCTGTCTGTCAAATAAATAAATAAAATCTTTAAAAAAAAACACACAAAGTATGTGAACTGTTTTTCAATAAAGGTAAAATGGTAATTCAATGGGAAAGGGTAGTTTTCCAACAAATAGGGCTAGAGATTTTAAAGATATACATATAGAGAAAAAATATGCCCTAATACTTAAACAACAAAAGTTACTCAAAATGTATCATAGGCATACACATCAAAGATAAAATCAGTAAACTTCTAGAAGAAAACTTACGAGAAAGTTTCACAACTTGGAACTGATAGGACACAAAGTACAAATCATGCCACATACTGGGAGAAAATCTGACAAAGGATTTGCATATAGCTTATATTAAGAATTTCTATAACTATATAATTAAAAATCCATCAAACTATGCAAAATACATGAACATTCAAAAAGTAGACAAAGACATATGAATGTCACACAATCACATGAGACACTGTCTAGTATGATTAGTTATCAGAGAAATATGAATTAAAACTGCAGTGAAATACAAGCATACATTGAAATTACCAAAATGTAAGAGACTAGCAGTAACAAAAGTTGCTAAGAATAACGAAAAACTGTCACTCTCATACATAGGTGGTTGGAATGTAAAATATTACAAGAATTTAAAAATGCGGAGTGATGCTTTGTTACAAATTTAATAGTACAATTAACATATGACCCAGCAATTCTATTCCTAAAAATAGGGAAAAAAGACATGTTCTTTAGAAGCAATTTCATAAGACTTGAAACCAAAGCAACCTAAATGTTCATTAATAATAGCATGAATAAACAATGTTATATTCATACAAAGAAATACTACTCCACAATAAATGTCAATGAACTATAGATATGTTCAATCATGCAAACCGAATATCAAAAATATAGGCAAAAAAATCTAGAGTCAGAAAGGATCTAAAATCTATGATTCATTCATTGAAGTTCAGTAGTGGGTAAAAATAATGTGTTGTGACTGGATTAGAAGTTTCAGATACTGATGGGATTGACTCCTCCATGTCAATGGAATTATGGGAGAACTGTCTGTGGTAATGTAAATATTCTAATACTTCTTTTATCCACATCTAATTAAGTATAACATAAGTCAAATTAAAAAACAAAACTCAGCAAGCCAGAAAGAAAATATAAATAAATATAATGAAGACTACCTAGACATATCCTAAACCTTTGTCTGAAACAAAAGAAAGGCAAAGTCACAATGCCTATAAAGACAAATGGATTCTATGGATATTCTGGCCAGTTGTGGAGCTAACTTGGTTGCTGAAGTTTTCAGTGATAATGAGATTCCTGATGAATTCCATCAGTGGGGTTGGTGGTTTTCTAATATTAAGGAAAGCTTATTGTGGTGGTGTTTTACTCACCTACTCCATCAAAAAAGTAAAACTACTTTCCTTCTGCCAGTAGCCATAACTATAGATAGAAAAATCCCTGGTGATCAAGAGCAGTTAGTCACTGTAACATTTACTGAGATAAGTTCTTAATATATGAGAGAGGGAAGAAATTAGAGATATATTTAGGCAAAAGCCTAATGAAATCCTAAAACATAGGCTCATCTGACTAACATATGAGGGATCAGTGCATGTTTTTCTAGATTTGAAGATAGGAAGTCACTTGGTCACTTAAGAAGCAACCTCATGCTCTAAGCATCATTGGTCAGTGACCACTCTGGTTAATGATGTAGACATTGAGGAAGAGAATGTAAAGACTTATTGCAGTTTATTTCAGTAGGGCTTGTTAAAAGATAAACTGAGCAAAAATCAATTTAAATTGGCCAGCATCCAGTCTAGCCAAAGAAGGATCTGAGAAGCTATACAAAATAAAAGACTTTTACAGGCAGAAGGGAGCGGGAACCAGGAAGTTATACTGGCAAAAAGGCATGTTTGTTATTGCAAAGTTATATTCCTTTAGGGGATATCAGGGATCTATCAGGGAGTAACTAGTACTGATCAGGTGATTCCTGACTGGCTGGTTTAATACTCTATTCTGGGAGAGTTAAAACCAA